TTTAGCATTATGTGTGAAATAGCCGTCATATAGCCTCTGAGCATGTCGAGCGTGGTCTCAATCGATGTGAGTCTGAGGAGGTGGAGGAGAGGTTTAGCAAACAAGAAGTTAAAGACCAGTTGGTCACTCTAGTTGTTGTTCCTCATTGTCTTTGGAAGACTCCAAAAGACCATTGATATCCCTTTTCAAGGAACTCAGAGCAGGCATTTGATGGATATTTTGTTGGATGAAATTTATGAGAAACAAGTTATTTCATTTCAAAATCATACCACTGTGGATCAGGTTGATTCACAGTGATTTATCATTGGTAAATCATGTGTTACGTCAATCCATAGTGGATTTCATGCTGTTACCATCTTTGGTAAAACACCCATGATTAAATTTCGCGCTCAGGACCGCAAAATCTAAGGCCCCGTTTGGTTGCGATTGATTTGGGCATACTACAGTAAAAGTGTACCACAGGAAATGAGCAAATAATGCAGGAAAATTTCCAACTCACAATTTAATCGCAGTACAAAAATAAACAGTGGTTTTTAGGAATCATCGTTTGGCAACTCACAACCAAAGCCAAAGTACAGAACTTGTGACGACTATTTTTTTATTCAACTCTAAAGATTTAAAATTCTCATTATTGATTCTTCATCAATCAGGTTCGTCAAAATCTCGTCTAGTCCCTAAATTTATCTATCTGAACCTTCTTCAAAACAGGTCATCAGATCGAAAGTTTCATGTATATAATTACATTTTATTTCTACTTCATCATTGTTGAATCGAGCTTGATCCACAATGTTTTCATCTGTCTCATCAATCTTGTTATCCTCATCATTCTCATTATTCTCATTATTTGCATTATTCAAGTTTCACTCCCATTACTTGCTGGGTTAAAAAGAGTGAAGATATTAACAGATGATGATTTCATTAACTTGAGATTAACAAACCATGATTTTGAAGACACAATGATAATGTTGAAGCGATGATAACAAAAAGTGATGATTTTGATGATTGACCAGGTGGAGTGATCGATGAAGTAACAAGATAAATGAGGTGATGATGTTGATAAAATGATTTCCTGGATTGTAATCACAATGTATGGGAAGAGGTTGAAATTGGACAAGTCCCCTTCTCACATACAGAAATAATCGGAGGTCATCAGAAATAATTGCCAAAAAGGAGTTTGTACTTTTACCTTGAGATTGTGAGATTATTGACCAAATAATGTGGTACGATAATCTCTAACCTTGGGCTACCAAACGCCCAAATTTAATTGGCGATTATTTTACTGTGATTCTCCAAATACCACAGTAAGATAATCGCAACCAAACAGGGCCTAAGATAAACCACCCTCATGATAGTGGGTGCTCTTAGATCTATCGTAAATTTTGCGGTCCTGAGCGCAAAATTTAATCATGGATGTTTTACCAAAGATGGTAACCGCATGAAATCCACTATCGGATGATTTACTGTCTGCTTTACCTGGTTCCTATGATAAATCAGGGTTTAAGCTTTCGTAGATTTGAACAAGAGCGACGCAAAATTTGACGCAGTCGTAGGGACCGCAAGTGTAAAACAGGCCCATAGTGGACCTGTGTGTAACTTAGCGGTAAAGCTACGATAATCACCTCGTTACCGCAACCATAGCTAGCTTAAGAGCACCCACTATGGTTGCGTTAACGACGTGATTTAGCGTTACCGTAACGCTAAAATACCGACAGGTCCACTATGGACCTGTTTTAGACCTGCAGCCCGGACGGCTGCATCAAGTCTTGCACTTTTTGTCTTCAGATCTACGCAAGCCTACGACTTGATTTATCGTAGGATAATCGGTCACCAACTGCATTTTTCAAAACATCAAACATCAAAACTCATCGTTCAAACTTCAAACCTCAACACCTCAATGTTCAAACCTCAAAACCTCAACTTCAAAACTCATCCTCAAGAGTCGACCTCAAGACATCACATTTTGGAAACATCACACTCCTAAACAAAGGAAGTAGCAAAGAGATATCAACAGTCCAATCTTAGTTTCTATCTCATCATCTCAGTCAACAGATCTTCATCACCAAGCAAAACAATTGTATGAATGTATATTTAAATTGGACTTAGTTTGTTTTTCATAATCTCAGTCATGTGGATACACATCTGAAACGATCATCAAGCAAAAAACCATATATACATATATTTAAATCAGTAGATACAGATCTCAGATAATCATCGAGCAATAAAATGTTATGTATATATCTTTAAATCAGTTTAACAAAAGTAATATTAGTATCACATGAGGCAGTTTCAAAAGAATGACTCTCATTGACCTGCTTCCTTCAGCCAGAGGTCCATCGTGAGATCGCGCTGAAGCTCTTGATGAGCATTGGAATTTCTCGGAATGAGTGTGTTTTCGAGGTACAGCATGACAGTATTTAGATTCGGAAGCAAGTGTGGGGTGGTGGTGGTGGTGGTGGGAGATCATTGGAGAGGCAAGTCCTGCTGCTCATCATCGTTGTTTGAAGACTTCAAAAGACAATCGATTTGTTTTTTCAACTTGTAGCGGGCATTTGGTGGATAATTCTTGGATGAAGGTTATGAGAAATGAGATATCTCATTTCAAGATCATACCACTGTGGATCTGATTGATTCACAGTGATTTATCGTTGGTAAAGCAGACCGTAGATCATCCCATAGTGGATTTCATGCGGTTGCCGACTTTGGTAAATAACGCATGATCAAATTTCGCGCTTCAGCAACGCAAATTTTACGATAAATCACCCTTACCATAGTGGGTGCTCTAACACAAGCCCCCCCAACCTCCGGAGCCTGCGGAGGGGGGGCTTGCGCCTTATACACGAGTTCTCGTGTGATACCCTTTGTAGTTTGGCTGGGACTAATGCCCTCCTCCCATTCCGCGATTGTACACAATGCAAAGATTATAATTGACCCGAGACAATTGTGGATCTTTCTCTACCTCATCTTTTGGCCTACTCAGATTCCTCATAACGGCTTTAGAGCTCAAGATTGTAAAGGAGCTCTTGTTTCGTGATTTCAAATTTTGATTATTGAACTTGCTGCGAATACAGGTGATTTACATAGACTCGATTCTTTCGAGTTAAATCTTCCTCTGTACTAACCCATCTGGTGGTACCAACCCATCCGGTGGTGATTCAACCTCCTTGAACTCTCTATCAACCCATACTTCAACACTTCTTCGATACCTCCTTGCTATTAACTGTAATATCGGATGGAGATGGAGTCGGACGGTTCTGATGAAGGTCATCTCGACAACTTTACCTTGGATCCGTCTCTTGGAATTGATGTGTCATCGACTTCCAAAGAACCTGAGATCAAATTAGGAAGAGTTGAAAGGATATGTCAATATATAAATCAGCAAAAGACCGACACAAAAACTTTCATTCTAGATTACCTGCGGTCAACAGATGAAACCATTATAAATCGGAAAAAGCAATGGGGCTCAGCAAAGAGGGGATGGAAGACCACCGAGCATGTATTAGACAAAATCAATCTGTTGGTTAATCAAAAACACGATTGTCAATCATTATGGAGGGAATGGGTGCTGAAAAAGGTGTGTGTTGATACATTCTGAGTAGCCAACACAATACTGATAGCAGATTTGTTTTTCTACATATTGTCAGGCAAAAGTTATCATTGCATCACAGTCTCCCGCTTCACAGAGTCTCACTACAAGAAAGATAATATTTTCTGGGCAGAAAATTAAATTATTGATACACAAAAATATTGAGAGGCCAGGAGGAGAGCAAAAAATGAATAAAAATATGGATCTTGTTCCCTGCGTTGAGAACTTCACTCTGCATATTTTCCATCAAATAGATTCAATTCGCCATCCATTTACTTTATGGCTGATCTTCCATTTTCGATGAAGTGATGTTCTTGCTGTCCCCGTAGCTACAGTTGAAAACCCACTTGTTCTTACTCTTGAGGAATTCGAGACGACTGTCAACAACGTCTTTGCAACTTACTTCTCCGGAAAAGTCCTTCGTGAGGCACGTCGGAACAAGGACCAAAAAGCCCTTCAATTACTCCTCCGTATTTGTGACTTTGCAACTATTGTTGAAGCAAACCAAGCCATGTCTGATGGTGACATAGGACGGCTGATGATTGTGTGGCAGCAGTGGAGTATAATGGCTCAGGGTTTAAAGGTACTGACACACTATTCGAAGTACCTTCCTCGACTCATCCGGCTTCTCACCATTGTACTTCCCAAGCAGCTGTCACGTATCATTCTGCATTCCCTTTTGATTTCTCCAACGGGTCGAGCAGGTCACTTTGTGGCAAAGGATTTCTTCCTCGAGGTGAAGAACTTCTGGCTGAAGTACTTCTACAATCACGCAGTCAGTAGATTATCTACCTCGTTTTCAACCTCTTGAACTGATCTATGTACTAATGATACTATGGGCCTGGAACGGACATCAAGCGATTGCAGGAATCATTTTCTCTCACAGTCGGGCTGGTAGGTTTTTTTGAAGGAAATAAAATTGTTTAAAATCAAAACTAACTACATACATATGCTCAGCTTGCATATTTGGTTGAAAAAATGAAAGGAAGAGCTGGGCGAAACCTTGTGCGACAATCACACAAAAATCGATCAACACCTGCTTTGATTATGCGTTTCTTGAAAATGGCAAGAAGCGAGTCAATCAATAAATTTCGACCCAAATCAATCATTCCAAGCAGTGCAATTACGGATGTGAATCTTTTGGGAATATATGAAACTACAGGATGATTTTGATCACCATCGATTGGAACGCTTTCACTGGCCACTCTCTTCGAACTACTGCCAAGAAAATAGTGAAGATCAAATAGATGAAGATGGTGAACAGGAAGATGAGTTTGGAGATCTTGATGATGAGTTTGTGAGATGGGTAGGCGAGGAGGAGGACTTACTTTTGATAAGCTGACTCCTTGGCATCTATTTCATCAATGGGTACTTTTTCCACCGAAAGCCAATGAAGACATCGTTTATTATATTCAGCTCACAGTCTTGCTTGTTCATCATCAGCTTTGACTTGTGCTGCTGTCCGTCTTGTTCTTTTTTGTTTAGCTACTTGAGGCTGTCCCGCACAATTCCGATCTACTTGTTTTAAACCTTTTGATACAGTCCGCTTCTCTTCGTTTTGTTTCTCTCTTTCTATCACCTTCGCTCGTTTGTGTGCATAATCAAGACCTGTATCGCGGCCTTTCCACTCTTGTATGTATCCAAATACAATACTTACACCTCATTTTAACATGTCACCTCCCATTGCAACCTTAATTTCTTTTTCCGATGTCATTTTCTCCAGATGACTAACTATATCTTTTGCGCAATCAAGATCAAAATAGTCTGTACTTTCACAGTACCCATCATCACCAAATATTTCTTTGTAATGCAGTTCAAATTCATAAACCAATTCATCCGCCAGCTCCTCCAACACTGGGTCCAAAGGCCCATTTCGCTTCTTAGAAGCCTTCTTGTTATTATTGTTATTATTAAGATCGGTTTTCTGTACTTCTTCATCAATCTCAAGTGCGTTCAAAAATCCTTCTACACTATATACATCGTTCATGGCCTGTGCGTAATTTGATTTTGTGATTCTAGGTAGATTGTGACGTAGGATATGAGAGCCCTCTGGGTCACAGTTAGAACATTGGCATTGAGGAAACCCGGCATTTCTTTCTTGATCCTGTTCTTCTAGGACACGTGGATCATCCTTTCTACAAGGTACCACCCCAATCCTTTCAATTCAACCAGTTAGTTTCAAAGCTTTTATCCATATTGTTTGAAAAACAGAGGGATGGCTCACGTATTTCCAAGTGAAAGAGCGACACGCAGACATATTGGTGTGAATGAATAGGTATCCATTAGATTGTCATCTGTCATTACACCACGATCATCAACCTGCTCTACCCTATTTAACCCCTTCGGTCGATTCTCTTCAAGAAAATGAATTACAAGTCCAGGACTAGAACCTCTGCCACATCTTCCAAACAATTGAGCAAGCTCTGGAAGGCCCATACGACCCATAACTACTACCTCCATCACTGTTGGCCAATCTTGACCGAGTCCAAGAGCGTTAGTACATGACATTATAGGAAATTCATCATTCGAGTAGGCTTCAACTTCTCGTAGCTTTTGTTTCTTTCCAGTACAGGAATGGTATCTGCGGACCAATGTACTATTTGGATCCATATGTCCTTTTGGTGTTCCTTGTGCTTCGCTTATAATTTTCATAACCTCAATGGTTGCATTTCGTGAACCTGAGTAGATAAGTGATTTAACAAGCTCGCTATCGGGTACAACTGATTTTCTAGCATACAGTTTAGCAAGATCTGCTGGTGCTATTTTGATTGATCGCTTGGTTGGAATACGGATGATTCGGATATTTGAGCGACTGAGTTCTCCTCTTAAAATCTTGATATCGCATTCTCGGATACTCAAGTTATTGAGGATTGCAGAGAAGGGGTCAGGCGCACAAGTCGCCGACATCAATAGCAATGGTATTCTGTTTGTTGCTAGAAATCGAATACAAAGGTCCCCATATGATGGCCAAAACTGACCACCATCCTGTTGACGCATGAAAGCAATACAGTGCTTAGCTTGTCTACTTTGTACCATTCCCCACCAGTAGATCATATGTGCCTCATCAATCACTTTGAGCACCAAGCGATCCTGAAACCATCCACTGAAGTAAATATTTTCGAAGAGCTTGTTGTTCAAGAAGATTTCCGGGCTCTTTTTCCACAATGAAAGTCCTTATATCAGCTCCCGCTTTTGTTCGTTTCAAAATCCATCCTTCAAACGGACTTGCTCACCACATAGACTACTGTATAAACTCCGTTTATAATATCTAACTTAACAGCTTCTGTAAATGTATCCTTTGTCACATTTACTGCTTTGATGTTCCATTTATTTTTCTCGGCAACCTACGGAGCAAGCAAAATATCATATCAGCTTAGCTTTAAATTTAAAGAAGTAATGTATTGGAGTGACCTGATTGTCCCCCAGCGCGTCGAGTGGATTGATCACAAGCACAGTAGCCTTCAACTCTTTTGGAAAAAGAGCAAGAAACATTTCAGCAATACGTGTCTTTCCATAGCCCGTTCCAGCCAATAAGAACGTGTCGCTTCCCCTGACTAACGCAATGACGGCTTCGATTTGTAATTTTTTAGCTTCACAGTTGTATCGCTTGTAATGAGTCTCCTTGATCAATTTGTACAGATCATCGTCTGTGAGAGCCGTGATCTCGGAAGGAAGTATCACTTTTGCTCGGGTCTGCTTAGATACTGAAGTTGCAGGCGCCGCGAGGATCTCGATCGGTTGTCGAATGTCGCTGGACATCTTGTGATCCTTATCCGAGCTTCGAAGCGTGCTTTTTCTTGTCTCCGTTGCCGACATGCCTCACGATTGATTTTCTTGCACTGAATATTTGAATGATCGAAGACTTTCACTCTGAGATTGCTTATTTTTTTGTCTCTCTGTGCTCTCTCTCTCTCTGTTCTGTCTGTCTCTCTCTCTGCGTGCTCTCTGTGCTCTCTCTCTCTTGTCTAAAAGGTTTCGGACTAGAGAGATAGCTTCAACCGTCAGCGCAGTTGTTTGATTGACCAAGATTGATGTTACAGTCTTCCGTTCTTGCCTAAAGACCATCAATATAAATGAACACATCTGGATTTGAGATGGAAATGTGTACAAGATATAGCGGAGCAACTTGGCTGATTCAGAAATGTGGATTGTCTGACGGTGAGCTGAGTAGCGTAGATGCCGTTCAAAACGGCCAAAAAAAACAAATTTCGAAAAGGGTACCACACCAAAAGATCTGTATAAGTCGTAAGTCCCTCCTCCGCAAGCTCCGGGGGACGCGCGCGGTTCGACGTACTTACTTAAGTTAGCAACCATAGTGGGTGCTCTCAATGAGATGGATGAACTCGATAAAAGACAAAGAGTAATGAGGAAAGTAAAATTTGTAAAAAACCGTGAGACGACTCTTGAAAACCATTACAACTCGCTCTTTACCATACGTCACAATTTCTTCAAAAGATGAATGAAGGATCAAAAACCCGAGAGACTTTCTGGTTTCAACAACCACCACTAAGCCACTTACCTATTGCCCTAATTTAAAACACGTTCCAACGCACAAGAGTTGTCAATGCGAGAGTTGGAGACCGAGGATATCCAAATAGCAGGATTGTGCTCGAACGAGTAACTTTCCACTCGCGTCCACCACGCATGCTGTAATTCAATCGGCCGGTCGAGGGCAGCTGTTCTTACTCCCAAATATTCAGACTTGGGTGGTCCAAGGCTTGATGTGTGTTTTGCCGATCTCATACTTTCAAAAACCCTTCTTTACTACAAGTGTGAGCTGGAGAAATCCTTCACCCAAGTAATAAACACAGCTTTCTTGTAGACGTCACAACGATAGTTTTGATCCCTTGATATCATGTTTCAACAAGCATTTCTTGTTCATTTCACAGTTTTGAATATTTTTTGGTTTGTTGCAGGATAATTGCACCTAGTATACCTGGTTCAGAACATTACCCGTTGTTTTCCGTCCCACGAATATCATCATTGCACAAATTATGGTTCATAATACCGTATGATCTCACCGTTTTCCTTCAAGCCAGCTTGAATTCACCGCACATTGGATCCGAATTTTGAGAAACTTTAATCATTTCTCCACCAGTCTATTGGAATAATATTCCATACCGACTTTCTTTATGAGTTGGTGAACATCAGATTTTTATATTTTAACTTCAATTCCAATTACTTTTCATGCATATCAGAGCTTCAGGGAAACTCGACTTGTTTTTGGTTACTTGCGTATTCTTCATAAACTTCTCCTCCAATGTATTAGCTCTTCCATATCCACATAAGTCTCAACTCGGTACATATTCTGCAACTTCCGAATCTTCAACCCAACTCCAAAAACGCGCAGTCATTGCAACCGCCTATCTGACTTCCGACTTCGTAAAACAGACCCTCGCAAGGAATCGTGAAATCAATACATCTCAAGAGAGGGAAGATCTACGCACGGATCGGGAAATCAACAAATCTGGAGAGAAGGAAAATAACCAAAGAGATACCAAAGTACTGGAGGACGATCTTCGAACAGAATGTGTTCGCGGTATAGATCCCACAACTGGAAGATGCCTATAAAATCCAGTAATTCTTCAAGATCTGATACCACCTGATTTCAATTCTTCAAAATAAAAGTATCTCAACAGGTAAAAAAAGCTTATCAATTATCACCCATACCTTTGATGAGGACAATTCTACTGTGATAGAATTTAACGCTGTAAAAATCAATACTCTAAGGTAGTTTTGGTAAACAAAGCACACATATGTTGTATATACATCAATTTATTCTGATGTAAAATCCATCCTGCTTGTATGTACAACTAAATGCTATGGACAATATTGCTTAATCTTTCAAATTCAAAATTGAAATTGGCGACAGTCAAATCCGACATGTGGATCATGAAACGCCAATTCTGATGCTCAGTTACCACAACCACAGAAATCTCAAGCTTGATGTCAATGTTTGATTTAACGACTGTCCATATTAGATAAATCTTTTGTTGGATGGTCCATATAAACATCTTTACTCAAGAATGAAAATTCTGGATCAGACCCCACTACATTTGAGGTACAAGAAAAGATGACTGCTAGATCTTGTCTGTGGGTGAAAATCTAAATCTTGATAGTCAACCAGTAAATCCGTTGAAAGCTGCCCGTGGAGTCCAGTTTCTGATTTCTCGAGCTCAGAGTTACAGCGGTGGTAGTAGTACGCCCCCAGGTGGTTACAAAATCCAGACTCTACGCCTCAGAGTACGGTCTGAAAGTCTGGACAAGTAAAATGGTAGATCAGAGTGAAAGTTTTTGCTGGACTCTTCAAACATTTCTATGTCTATGTTCAAATGGGTGACTTTGGGCATTGGCCTTACTTCGCCTGCAGGCCCTTTGGTGGAAGCCTTTCACTGATAAAGTGCTATTCATTCCTCTTAAGGACTCTCTAGGCATGAGTGGGCCACACTTCCATTCCTATATGGTGTATTCATTTTTCAAGTTCTTCTCAACATCAAGCGTTGAATTGTAGCTTGAGCTTGACCACAGTGACTGTGTGACAGAACCAAAATATCCCAGTCCCCGAAATTGATGTGCCAGGATGTCACAGAGGTCAGGCATGCGTTACAGGCCCTGGGTTATCTGACCTAGGTTCACTCGACTCGGAAGGATTGAGTTTGAACAGGTTGGAACCTGATGACCATCAATCGTATCTTATCGTTTCTTTCCTATCCTTCGTTTCCTCCGCCTTTCCGGTCACGATTGCCAAATCAAGGTATAGGACCTAGATAATTTGAACTGCATAGCCACAGCGAAGATTAATTCACGATCTTGATGTCATACATAAATCAGGCGCAGGGTCGGAGGTGACTCTGGAAGTTTAGCTGATACTTTTCAATGAAGTTCAGTGATTCAAGTATCACTATCAGGCAAGACATCCGATAAAGACCAATTCTTATACCACAACTTTGAGAAAGTTATAATATGAGTATTTATTATTTTAATCATGCTAAACAATTAGCCATCACATCGGTTTGTTCTTTACCGATCACTACTATTCCAATCAGTTTAAAATCAAAACTTTCAAATCAGAACGATTTCATTGATGGTAAATCACTTTTCGTTGAAATACTTTTGTGTAGATTGGTATCCATTCATGATTATAGCTGACTTTGATTATGTGTCTTTTTTGGTTTCTTCAGTGTTTCCGATCTTGGAGCCTAAGAATTGGAGTTCGATCAATTGTTTAATTTTCTTCAGAATAAACTCCACCATCTCGATTGAAACTTTGCCGACTCATTCAAATCTAATATCAACGTTTTCCAATTTTAATTCAACTTCAAATCTAAAGTTTACAAATCCATCAAAATCAACGTCGACTTATTATGCATTAAAATCACTTTATCCTATCTTAAACGCACCTAATCCTTTTTCAGGTAAAGCTGTTTTATTAGATGGTATCCCGAGCAAGCTTTCACCTCAACATGTCATCCAATCTTTGTCTCATTTTGGTCACTCAATCATTAATCCTCAACCTTGTTACTCATTTCCTTGGCCTGGTTCAATAAATCCCATTCAATCTAAAACTCCCTCAATCACTCGTCATCAAATCATTTATTGTCATTCGAACGCTCTTGCTCATCATCTTGCTGGTCAATTACATCGATCTAGACCGTCTTGGTTACCTTCTTCAACTTCTCATCATCATCAACATCATCATCAATTTTCGAATCAAATAAAACAAGGTGTAATCGGATGGGAATTGAAAGCACGCGTGATCTATTGATGATCAAAATGTATGATGAAGATTTCTTCACAAACAATTACTCATCCATCACAATAGAATCTATGCATTTTCGCAAGCAAATCCCAACAAATGAACAAATTCAAAATAAGAGCTATCCGACTCTCGATTCCGAATCACAGATCTCAGGAAACCAATCTTGAACCGAATTGAACAGAAACAGTGGTATGAGAGACAAAACTTTGAACTACAGACCAAAAAGGAAAGATTACATTCAGTGATTGATCAAACTCCAATCTTTTCAATCTTTTACGAGAATAAAGATTGTGGAATCCCAATCAAAGGATGTTTTGAAGAATTGGATTCCAATTTCCTAATTTTCAATCATCTGCTCATTTATCCAATTCTCAACGGAGAACTAGGTATAAACAAATGAATCAAATTCTCAACGCAGAACTAGTTACAAGCAGATGAATCAACAACATTTCAAAACCAGTCTCTCCCGAAGGGGGCTGCAAACCCCCCAGCAACCATCAAATTTGAAGCTTATGCCTGAGTTGTATTTGACCCTTGTAAGACTGATCCTCTTGCAATGAAAGAATGACAGGATAACTTGAATGTGTGCTATTTCTTGTACCAGGGATGAGATGTCAGATGTCATCGCCTTCTGTCCAACGCGTTGCGACGGGCAGATTCGTGCGTATCACAATCTCATGAGTATATTTGAGGAATAATCAATGCAAGTCTTGGAGACCGAGGTCATCCAAACAACAGGAGTTTGTCGCATCTTTGTGCTCGACCGGGTTACTGCTCACTCGCTGTGACCACACCCGCTTGACTGGATGAATCGGCTCATCGAGGTGAGTAGTTCTCACTCCAGATTCCTGGCTACTTATAACTTAAGTCAATGGATACTCGTGTTTTGGTAAGTCAAGACCATGCGTGGTTTCGCCGATCTATACCATCCTCTTATTCAAGTGTGAGTCAGATCCAAAAATAAACACCTTTCTTGTAGACTTTATTGGCCCCTCATGTTTCAAGATGATGACACTGAATTGCTTTGTCTCATAACACTCTCCATTGTCTTCCGTGGTATACGTCCCATCCTTTCCCATCTGATTCTTAGTATCCAGGCGCTCACAATCCTGTCATTTATCTTCACTCCGGCTTTCAACAACCGCACATTGCATCTGAAGTTTTAGACACTCCCCATGAGTCCATCGGAATGTTCTTCCGTATAACAGTTCTTCATTATTCACCGATCATTTGAGTTTTGGTATTCCAATTTCCATTTTTATGAGTCAGATCATGGCCCCCAGACTCAATTTGTTTGTCATCACTTCCTTTGTTATCTCAACAATTTCATTCAACATATTGGCCATTCCATACCAACAATATCAACGTGTTACAAATTCCGAAATTTCCGGATCTTCAACACAACTACAAGAACGCGACATTATCACTGATTATTTGAGAAGGCAAAATGAATTTAAGGAATATCGAAATAGGCAAAGAAAACACTCGGATCCTAAACTATTAGATGATCTCCTTGAAGTGAAATGCCTTCACGGTATAGATGCTATAACAAGAGAATGTGTCAAATTCAGTAAATCTTCAAGTTCTTGATAGAACTATACTTTCATTCTTCAACGGACAAGTATTCCAATAGTTCAATACCACCATATTCACAATATTGGTTTTTCTCTTCTCAACATCAAGGTAGTATTGTAATAGTATGGAATTTATTTTAAAACTGAATTTTGTAAGACTCTAATCCAACACAGGTCTTTAAATGATATTGGGCCAGATCATGAATCTTGTAGACATTTTAATTGCTATTGAGTTTTGTTGTTTGGGTGCCACAACCACAAGAATCTCTACATGCAATATTATCAATGCTTGATTTCACAACTGTTGTGGTCTCAAAGTGTATAAAGGTGTGAAGTGTAAGAAATGGGTCAGCTGTGAGGCTGGAAACAAACACTGTGGTAGAATGCCAAGTGACAAAACAAAGTTTTCCTGGAAGAAAATTTTCCAGAAACCTTCTTTCAAGCTTCTGCTTCCTCACTTTGGACTTAAAAACTTTGAGTACAATCCATGTGGTCCTGTCAAATAGCTTGGCATAATTCTTGAGAAATATGTCATTTTATAAAGAAATCAAGAGATCAACAGATGGTACATATAGGAAATTGAAGCTTGTAAAAGAGTGATCCAAAAATCAAATTTTGATACATCCTGTGATAGCACAGCAAGAAATTGTGGACCTCTGCTACTCTGCAAGTCCAAATCAAAGAGATAGATTAAATGGCATAGACCAACCTTAAAAAACAAAACCAGACTGAGATTGCAAAGAAATTTAATGTATAGAAGTGATGTGAAGTTACAAAACAAATCTGCACTTATATGATACTGTTTTGATTCTTATTTTAGGGGTTGGGTTTTGGGGGTACTACAGCTCCCTTTCTGCTAAAACAATTTGTAATTGGTAGCATAGAAGTGCTTCGCTACACTACACTACTTGCCACTGGTACAGTCACTGGGCCACCATTAGCTTGCCTCTTCTGACACTTCTCATGCCAACCACATATCCAACTTGAACAACAAAAAGGCCAAAGGTAATGAAGTACATGGAAACCAAGCACACAAATATTGAACAAGTCCTGGAGACTTCTGCATGAATTTACATCACACTAAATCTTATAACACCAGGGACTTCAAAAGTGACCTTTTTTCCCATTTGTAACAAGACTGTTTCTCTTTTGTATTACCTATTTGAGTTTCTTGTCTTACAAAGATTTGAATTGGTTCCAACACTCTACATACTATGCTTTCTGTGAATCTTGATGAAGGAATCCAGTGAAAAGTGTTACTTGATATCTGGATGGTTTATCAGGCTTCTTTTACTTGCAAGATGTGTGAATACCATAACAGAATTCCATGACTGACATAGGTGGAAAACCATATTGTTTGGATTGTGAAGTCTTTACAAATTCCATTGTCTAGATGACAATCATTCAAAGAAAAACTATATTAGGGATGAATGGGGAATTTGTTTTGCAAACTACAACTTTCCAAAATTTACTTACAACATTATATGTTGGACATGCAGAAAAAATGATGATTTTTTACCTCCTTTAGGAAAGATTACATTTCAAAATTGACCACTGAAAAACAAAAGATCTTGCTGTGTTAAATCCAGTTAACAACTCAAATTTTCAACTATTTCATTCTTTCTCAATATCCAACATATAACTGATTCATTTTAGATGACTTGTTTGATAAAACTGGATTTCAAGTACAATTTCCAGAATATGATTTCATTGTGGTATGTCTTTTACAATCAGAGGGAGTGCTATATTGGACATGTAATATATTAACATACATCAAAGTTAGGGCTTCCTGTAGGGATCTTCCGAGGATTGTGATTGGTGAGATAAGGCATCTGGTGACTGTTGTATCTAAGTTGCAGGCTCCTTGGTAAAAGCTCTTCATAAAGAGATGCTGTTTTTCCACCTTGAGCATCCCCTAGGCATACTTAGGCATTGTCTCCATTCCAAGCTTATCAATCAATTTCACAGTGAGATCAAGCTGTTGATTTTGAATCAAGAATCTTCTTTTTTGCACAGAGGTGTAAATGGACAATTTCTGAACTCTTTGATAAACAGATAGCATTCAAAGTTGACTTGTATGACCATGAGTAAGGGTACTTCATTACCATCATGATCTCCTTGGAAAGGCTTAGAGTCCAGTATTCAAGGTAAAGGTAGTCAAATACAGTAATTGTGATGAGTCATAACAATCCTTTGGTCAGCCCCTTGCTCTTCATTTCATGCAGTGATCATCCAAGGATACATTGGATAGTCCCACCAACACAATCTGGCTGGTACATATTTGTGTGAACAACATGTTTGGGAATCAAAGAACTCACAGGGAATAATATTGTGTTGTGAGCTCAAACCTAAATTGATTATTGGACGCACTTTACTGATTATATCATCCAGTTTGTTACTCACATCAACTATCACTCTGGTTCCCCAATCACTGGTTGGCAAGAGATGTGTAAATAAATTATGTTTAATAACTTGTAAGAGCTTTTAAATCTTTTGCAAAAAACAATGCTTGATGATATTGAAAAAAAAGATATAACTGAAAGTGAGTTTGGATATTGATATAATGAAAATGTATTATTATACACACATAACAACAATTAATTGAAAGAAATTCATTCATGAGCTTGAAAAGAAGATGAAAAAGAAGAAGAGGAATTAAAACCACCATGCAGATAATTTGTAAACTTCATCATGACCAAAGAAAAAAAAACCCTTATCCAAAATCAAACCAAAACCAACAAGAATAGAAACTCGAAAAGAGAATTGAAAGAGACGATGATCAGAAAATCAAAGGATCTTAACAACATTTTCCTTTTAATCCAACCATTCTTAAAACTTTCTTTCCACTAAACCCGATTCCATTCCCACCAGAAAGTTCAAACCCGTCACCCGACCCTGCACCCCAAGAAGAAACTCTCTTCAAAGCTCTTTCACCATAACTAATACCTGAACCATTCCGATCAGGATCAATCCTACCAGATTCAATTGACAAAAGAATAGATCTAGTAAGTAATAAAAAAGGAGATGAAACCGATTCGCCTGTTAAAGAAGAAGTTTCTAAAAATAAACAGTCATGTGATTTAGCCCAATCTGATGCTTCTAATTCTCCTACTTGTCGATTCTCTTCTTCTAAATCTACTTTGTTTCCTACTAAGACTACTACTAAATGTGGTGATGCTAAGGCTCTTGCGTCTGTTAACCAAGATGATAAACTTGAAAATGTTGATCGACTATGATTTTGTTTATAGCAAAGATGAAGAGAATGATCGAATCAGATTTGAATTCAAAAGTTGATTGAATCAAGCTTTGTGTGAAATTGAAGATGATTCAAAGGTAGTACTAACTCAGAAATATCGTAAACTAAAATCGCACCAGCCGCACCACGATAATAATTACGAGTGACACTTCTAAACCTTTCTTGACCAGCTGTATCCCAAAGTTGCAGTTTCATACGACAAGTAGGATGTGAACTTGAAGAAGATGATGAAGAAGAAGCTGAAGGTAATGATAAGATCGTAGAAGAAAATTCGACTCCTATTGTATGAGGAGATGGATGACGAGGTTGAGATCTTAAGAAATGATAAAGTAATGAAGATTTCCCGGTACCTGATTCGCCTATGACTGATATATGATTGAAAAGTAAAGTCAATAAGATGGTTTTGCAGATAAGAGATAAGGAAGGTGATCAAACTAACCAATGAATTTGAGTAAAAAGTCTACATAAGAAAATGTATTCAGAATGATCAGTGCTTGATATTGATAAGAAGGGAAAATAAGAGAGAAAGTGACTGACCATATGGCTCTATCAATTCAGTTGGATTTCGATCCATATCACTTTAAGAATCGTAATCCACCACATTCAATAATGTTAGAAAGAAAACTAAACTATCTTTGTCGCTCGAGGTAAGCACTTTGAAGGTTTCTGATTGATTGAGATGAGCTCGTTTGATGAGATTGAAGTCGTAGGCGTAAGTCGAAAGTAAAAGTTGATAAGGAATTCAGATCAATCCTCAGCAAGTGACAAGGAAAGGAACCAAACAGATTACTCAATTAGGATTGCGGTATCCGCACCTCCCCCCCCTTAGTAACCGTACCTCCCCCCCCACTTAGCAGGCCTTAAGATACCCCTAACAACCTGTATGTATATTTGAATTTAAGGAAGGATTCAACCTGGTCTGGAAGCTACTTTTTTGAAAACCTCTCAACACCTACATCAGCTCAGTTCATCATTGCTCGTCCAACCTCTTCAGCCTTCTGGCATGGATCTCAATCTTTCAATGCTCTACCCCTCACTCCAGGATGCTGAAGATTCCCTGCGAGAATACACAAAGAGCCACGGATACTGGTTGAAAATCACTCGGACCATCTTTGCACAGAAAGGCAAGGGGCCAGCAAGGAAGAGGGTATTTGCCTGTGCTCATGGAGGTCAACCTAGAACAACTGATTCCGATGTACGCACAACCTCCACCCGCCTCCTGGGATGTTTGTGGTCTGCTCAGGCTCTACGCGACACAACTACACATCAATGGACACTTAAGATCACAAATAATGAACACCAAAACCACGAACCTTCTAAGAACTTTGAAGAAATCCCAGCCGCGAGGAGACTCACAAAGGAGCAGGCTACTGAGGTCATTCAATTGGCAAAGGCAGGCGCCGCCTCCCGAGTTATCTTGAGTACCCTTAAAGATTCAGATCCAAACAATATATCAACACCTCAAGACATTTACAATGTGGTTAAGAAACATCGTATTGAACATTTGGATGGACGTTCATCACTTGAAACTCTACTCGATGAGCTGAAGGATGAAGGTGTTTTCCACGCATACCAACTTGATTCAGACCACTCGTTACGTCGCCTTTTCTTGGTTCCAAATGTGTGTGCATCCTCTGCTCAGGATCTCTGGACTGGTGATGTATTACTGATGGACTCGACTTACAAAACCAATCGGTATTTACCATCTCTGAGTTGACTGCAATTCAACACTATTTAGGCTGATGTGGTTTATTCTGTGTCAGGTTCAATATGCCTCTATTACACATAATGGGGGTCTCTTCAACCCACAAGTCCGTCTCACTAGCTTTTGGTTTCATGCGTCAAGAGACAGAGGAAGATTACACTTGGATTTTAGAGCAGATGAAGGCCTTCTTGGGCTCAAAGATACTACAGATAAGTGCTGTTGTGACTGATCGAGAGTTAGCCTTGATGAATAGTTTGCATTGGGTGCTCCCACATTCGCACCACCTACTCTGCAAGTGGCATATCAAAAAAAACATACAAACAAACATCAAAAAATACTTTACCGACGAAGAATGGAAGAAATTCAAGGCAAAGTGGAACCAAATATGCGACTCTCTTTCCCCTGAGATTTTCAATCAGAATATCAACACACTCAGTACACAGATTCACACAAGAGCCTTCGATTACATCACAAAGACTTGGGTTATACACAAGGAAAAATTTGTCCTCGCTTGGACAAAGGATATCAAACACTTTGGGCATACTGTCACCTCTCGCGTGGAAAGAGGACATGCCTCAATTAAACAATGGGTTTTGATGTCAACTGGAGATCTGGCTACAGTGTACCAAAAGTTAGTTTTACTTTGTCAACAACAGCGAAACAAAGTAACTTGGAAAACAAAATATGACCGCACTCATATCTTAAATCGATTGAAAGGTAATATCTGGAGTGAGGTAAATCGAAAGATCTCACACTACGCATTGCTTCAGGTGTGTTTCCATTTGCTTTTCCCTGTCACTTGTTATTCTGGAGTTTGTATAACTAATCTGTCCCTCTGCTCAGGTATATCAACAGTACAGACAAGCACTGTCGTTGAAAAACGACTCGATCTGCACACATGTAGTTTCAGGATCGAAGGGTTTACCCTGTGCACACTTTATAAAGGAGCTCATTGGATCAAGCAAAAAGCTTCTGGTTCAACACTTTGACATTCATTGGCGACTTGAATATACTGTACCACCTATTGAACCACTCCAGGACATCGAGATTGACACCATGCTCAAGAACATTCAAACCCAATATGCGACTTTACCAGCGAACCGACAAGCAGTCTTAAAGAATCAACTTGCACTGATACTATCTAATCCGACTCCATCAGTCAGTGATCCGGTTCCAATTCGTTCTCGTGGCCGACCAGTTGGTGCTTTAAACAAATCCAAGCGAGATCGAAGCGCATTTGAACATCAAGAAGCCCAAGAAACCGCACCCCAATGTAGCCAATGTCATCAAACAGGTCATAACAAACGGACCTGTCGAATGTGACCCAGTGATATGGAAAGTTCATCTCAGTTCAATTTGTGGATCATCAATGTACATTTTCAGATAGATCTAATTCCATGTGACCTGGTTTACAAAGCAATAAAGACCCCATAAAGACTTGTTCATAGATTACTTTCAAGATTCATTGAGAGACACATCCAAAGTCTGCAGGTGTAAGAACAATCACAAACAAAAGATATGTAAAAATCTTTCTGGAAAACTGTTTATCGATTGTTCTGAAAATCGAGCGAGTGATGTGTGACAATGTGTGATGATGTGCACCAATGTGAAAACAAAAACAAACCAGAGAAACAAGATCTCAAAGGGTGCCAACGTCTGAATTGCTCTCAAATCACAACGGAGCGAGGAAAGGTGTGCGAAAGCGATCACACTCGCCTGCAAGGTCAAAGGATTGGAAAATTTGAAGATTAATTTCAAATATACATACAGGTTGTTAGGGGTATCTTAAGGCCTGCTAAGTGGGGGGGGAGGTACGGTTACTAAGGGGGGGGAGGTGCGGATACCGCAATCCCTCAATTAAATCGATTAAAACAAAATCAGTTTGTAAAACTACAGTTTCAAAAACATGACTTCCAGAACTGTATCAGCTGATCTTAACTTTTAAGGAAACTTTAATCATGTGAACTACAGTTTCAAAGTTGATCGACCAATCTTTGAACTCATCTTTGAACTCGGGAAACCATACCATAAAGTTTAGTTTTGGAGAAAAGTTGAAGAGTATCATCAGTCTTCCTCTTTGGCCCCTTCTTTCAAGTTGATCCATATGGTTTGATGAAAGTCAAATCATGTAGCCTTGCTGTTGAAACTCGCAGAAGTGTGTCAAGTACACATGAGGTTTACAAGGAGTCATCCAGCCTGTCTTTGAATGAATTGCTAGACACATAAGGGCCCGTTCGGCTGGATTTCGAAAAAATCGTTACACAAAAACGATTTTTCGATCTGCCCCTGTTTTGAGGGGCAGATTGAAAAACTCGAAATTCGGCTTTTTCGTTTACCAAACAGTCGACCAAATCGGTCAATGAAAAATCAAAATGGAGGGGCAAATGAGCCCAAAAACTCTTTTTGGTCTCAAAAACAGCCTCAGGGCTGTTTTTCAAAATTGAAGATTTTTTGATCAAAAACCGTTTTTGGTTTTGATCAAAGACCGTTGCCGAACGCTGCTCTTTTTGTTAAAAACCAAAAACCGTATTTGGCCAAATACGGTTTTTGGCTTTGGTGGAGTATTTGGCCAAAAACCGTATTTGGTTTCCAGCCAAACGGGCCCTAAGATCTTGGGGTGATGAAGGATAAAGCTCTATGTAGTATCACTGATATCAACAAGAAGGATAGCATCCTGAATCACCTTTGACTTTGTCTTTAAGATATCCATTGTATCATATTCACCTAACTTGATCTTTTCACATATCCATTCCTGACTTGTCATTTCTTGACTCTTCTGCATTTGCTATGAATCCTCTGATTGGCTCAAAGGCTTACATACCTGAAAGAAGATTTCTCATGTATTGCACCAATTTGATAGGCACACATCAGGGGGGTTCAAGTTGAGATCTTTTTGTTAAACTTAGCAAAATGCAGTTGCTTGTTTTGTTAAATTTAAGCTTAAAAATTTTATCAAACAAGCCTGCTTTGGAGGTGGCTCGTTTTCTTAATTTATGAAAACAAGCACCTTTTTATGATGAAACAAGCATGATGTGTGCCTCCCTTGACCACGTGAGACCCTGTGAATCCTCCATGAATATTTTTTTCACCCAGGTTCACAGATTCCAAGTATTTCTCTCATACTGAGTTTTTTCTTCACCAACTTTGTGTGCTTTATCCTTTTTCTAGTTCCCCTCCATCCTACTTAAAGATGAAAGTCACTCCACATACGTCTCAGTCCTTAGTCCAGACAATCAACCTCTCAGCGCAAAAGAAGGACCAAAGCTGAGATGGAAGAAGAACACCAAAAGCTCAAGAAAATCAAGCTTCCGCAACCAGAAAAGAAACTGGCACACAAGTCAATGAACAAAGACTCAGATTCTGTGGACAATAATTTAGATGAAACAAAGACTCGCCTGAATTCAATTGATCATGACAAGGTCTCTGATAAGAATCCAAGGTTTGAGCAAGAAGATTTTGAAAATGTAGTGACGTACTTATCCAAACCTGAAAAGTTCAAGTTGATCTATGGTCCAGGCAAAAAAACAACAGTGACTGGTCAGACAATGAATTGTAATACATCTTTGAACACTTTCGCCACTCACATCAATGGCTTGTACAACGTTTGTCACTGTATCAGTAAAGGCCCAAGCTCCCGACAGATGAATCTTAATGGACGCGGTCTTGACCAACGATTGATCCGCTACAAAGCAAACTACATGAAAGCTAGGAAATGGACTAAGGAGACCAGTGCTGGAATCTTGGAGAAAGATAATCAAAAGGGTATATTTACAACTGCTCAAAAGAAGTAGGACATATGTCCGTATTTTGAGAAGATGGAGGCTCTCTTTGGAGACAAACCAAATGTGACACCATTTGCTATCTTGGATAGTGGTGTGGACAACGCTGGTAATCTAGAGTGGCAGGATTGGGAATTGTGTAACAGTTTGGGAAAGGAGTCTGAGGATGTGGATCATACTGCAAAATCAACCGAAGAAGGTGATGTCATTCTTGAAGAAAACAACAATGACAAAAGTGTAAGTCATCTTGAACTGATACACAGTGCGCGAAGACACTAACTGTGTTGGACTTCATATAGCAGCCCAAGTTACAGTCCTGGAAGAATATACAAATTGGCCCTGCAGCGAACTACTACACCACCAGGTCACTATTTCGGTTCAGCAACCGGTTTTTACCTCGGTTGATTAACGGTTTTCCCTTGACTGGTGAAGAACCTGTTTAGAACGAGTCCCTCCCAACTGTGCTGCAACGGGGGTTTTTCCCTGGTTGATCAGCCGGTATCGACCTGAGAAAAACCCGATGTTGAGCGGAAAAATGTTGATTCCGTGCGGTCTAGTGGCTCAGTTCCTTACATTAGTATCTTGCGCACATGTACATAGGAGCTATAGTTTGGAGCGTGACAAATTGGTGAAATTGCAGATAATAAACTTATTAAAGATACATGAGTAGACAATAGAAAACAGAATTGTTTCAATAGGTGAACAGAAGAAGTGGATGGGTTGTGAAGCCAATTGGATGGTCAATTGAGAAGCTACACAATTTGAATGGTCGCTAATTCATGCTATGTCTATATGTGATGAAATCCCCTTCGTAATTTTGGTAAAATTGAAATATACATCGGTCTATTTGGAGTGAACATCAAGATTATTTCTTTTTTGGTACAGTATGGTTGAGGAGACCAGGACAGAGGGAATCAAGAGAACATATTAGTGTGTTGAACGAGGAGCTAACATGGATGAGGCAATTGATGAGTTCACCACTACAGCACATAATGGGTCAAGTACAAATTAGTCATTACATCTTCACAGCTTTAGAAGGTCAACTTGAATCACCCACAAACCACTTTAATATCGCTTGAATCCATCTAAACCGTACTGATGCATGACTTCCCAATGGAATCGAAGTATTGGATGCAAAGCTGATAGGAACTACAGCAAAATCAGTGTCTAAGTTGGAACAAGAGTAGCAATATTGAACCTAAAGCTGATGATTCGGATTCAGAGAAATCTATTTCATTGGCCAACGGAAGACCATGAAGGTTGAAGTCATTGTCATTGAATGAATATTGAGAGCTGATTTGTTCAATATTTGATTGATTAAAACTTGTCACCTTGGCAGTTGAATTAGAAATTGTGGCAATGATGAATGGTAATGAAAAATTAGTGAAGTTCAAGTTGTTTATGAGTGACTGATTGAGACTGCTTTCTAACATTAAGGAGGTTGAGCAAGCCAAGTTGAGTTGATTGGTTCATTTGATTTGTGTTTGATGGTGGTCAACCGATGTCTTGATTTGATTTTCATCTTTTTTCTTGAGGAAGATGTTTTGTCAAATTAAGATAAGCCCCGTGGCTTGCTGACTCAGCCGCCATAACGGTCAAAACCCCGTTTTGAATCCGTTGAAGCTTGACCCATTGCAGAACTGTTGGTATCCATCACGGTTTTGAGAACGCTGCACCAAATGTGGTTGATGAACGGTTGATCCAATGGTTGATCAACTGTTTCTGATCAACCCATTGCAAAACTGGTTTTAGATGGTTGCAGAACGGAGTATTCACTGGGTTGTACTTGGTTTATTTTTTCACCTCCGGAACCCGGTTGGTCAACTAAAAGTGACCTGGTGGTGTATGAATCTCAAGAATACCTTGAACATGAGAACTCTAGTGAACCAATCAATCAAGGAGATCATGTATGTAGAAAAGCAAATAGTCAAGCACACAGTGTATCAAATGCTCAGGAAGACAAAGATTCAACTGCAGATTTCAACTCCAACCCCAAACCTCCTCAATCCCTTTTGAAGACTCGCACCATTAAAAACTCAGCAGGTGCCGCTGGATCAGCCAAGCGATCAGGTTCCATCGCTAGTCCACCTATGGATCCACTTCCGCGTCTAGATTCTACTGAAGTTCGTGGTAAGGAACACAAGAACCCTCTCGCCCAAGCTCTTGTTGGAATACTTGATATCTCATGATGAACTCCTCTTGTATTCCTTATGTCATCTGTCATGTGTGCTTTCCATCTACTGCTTCTTGTCTATTGTGTTCTTTTATCTCTCATGACGGATCATGTGAATTCTCTAGTTCTTACATAACTAAAAAATGTTTGTTACGTAGTAGTGTTGTGTATATATACAACCTGGAGCTGCACTAGGAAAGGGTCTCTTTTCCTCACCCTTTCCATTTCATTCTTGTGCGCTCTAGGTATGTATTTTCTTTTCCTTTATGTTGTGTGTGTTACTTATGAAATTGAAACTACCCTTTCCATTTCATTCTTGTGCGCTCCAGTTGATTGCAACAGCTCTTGCAGCTGGAAATCACGCCAAGCTTGCAGTTGTGCAAGAAAATCAGCAATGGTGTCAAACCTTTGAACAACAAAAGATCGATGCTGAACAGTGCCAAGCGGATGCAGCTTTGAAATGAGAAAAGGAGAAGTATAACATGGATCACAAAGATAAACTTTCAGCTAAGCAAGAGAAGATGACAATCAGATTGAATTCAGAAGGAAAGTCACTGGGGAAAATCATGCAGCTTCTTGACCTTGCATACCCCCTCATCAGTAAATAAAAGGTTAGTAAAATCTTTACCTACGATGATTCCACAATTAAATCTGAACCTGAACCTTTTGTTTTGAATGAACAACTGGACACAATTGATACACATTTCAGTGTTATGTCTATCTGCTTTAGGTTTAACCGCACAAAAAGATTCTTTTCAGCGCACATGTTGAAGAAATGCTCTTCCCATAATTTCCCTCACATCTACAGGCCCTCGCGCCGCTGGCTACCCTCCTCACGTGCATCTAATCCTATCTCAGTCCGTATTTCATCAGCCAGCATCCAGCTTTCATCTCTGAGCACCTCATCTAAATCCTCTCAAGTGTTTCCCAAGTCTGCAAGCATGTTGTGCAAGATTACACATGCCAGTATCCAGTCGATGTAGCTACACATGTTGTCACGTTCATTCAACTGTAGCCGCATTCCCTGAAGTGATGCCCACCTTAATTTCAAAACACCTATCGATTGCTAATTGCGCACGCGAGACTTGGCTACATACCAGTTAACATCTTTGTTTCGATCAATTGTTGCTGCTTGCCCTTTGTAGGAAGAGACTACACTGTCGGTTGCTATGTATGCTGAATCCGCTAGTAGATACTCGCCTGAAGGTGTAGATTAGTACAGAAGACAGCTTTATTCATTAGAAGAATAACACACACCTGGTGAAAAGTACTCCTCTGGATTTTGTGAGATGCCCATCTTTTAATAAACTGTTGTGTCGCAACATGATCCTGGCCACCCCGCATATATCATTGTGATTCTTCAATCACAATCACAGAATATCTCGCAATTGATTGAATACCTGTGCTTCCTATCGAAGAAAACCTCCCCATCTTTCCCAGGACGCTGATATATTGGAAAGCCGGTTCCATCCACAAAACCTACACACTTGGGGAATCCCTTGAGCAAGAGGACCTTTCCAAGTGCCTGCCGACGCGACTTCAATGGCCACTGGAGGTAATACTTCCCCTCAGATATGATAGCTGTGATAACTCAACGTGTACAGTTGACAATTGCTCCACGTGAAACCTTGTAGTTGCGAGCAAATTGACCAATGGATGCTGCATTACCGTTGCTTCCAAGCCGCTCAAGGGTGATTGCCAGTTGATGTTCCACCAATGGCTGAGGGTTGTTGCTTGTCAAGATGAAGATGGGATGGTTTTGAATAAGAGAAAGAAGAGAATCAAAACCCTCTGGTGAAGTCCGCATAGCCTGGATGATATCTGTTTGATGGTCCCTCAACATGTCCTTCAAGTTGAACGGAGATGCATGAGGGGCCTTGAATCGAGGCTGAAGATAGCAATGGCTGTTTACTGCATCAAGTAGCTCCGAAATTTCTTCTTCATCATCAAAAACTTTGTCATAGATTGCTGCAGATTCCGGATTGTCAGGATGCATAAGTTCTCCCATTGTTGGGAACAATTTCATGCCGGTAGGGTCAACCAGTAGTTGGTCAGTAGCTTCATTGTTGGCAATTACTGCAAGAGTATTTAGATCTTGGATGATTTGGGTGTGTTCAGAGGTTTGAGGCATGTTTCAAAGTTTTTCAAGGTGATAGTTTAGAGTATCTCACTCCATCTATCTCATTGATACTTCCGTTCAATTCAAGAGTCGTGAAAGGAACTGGGTATGTGACAGGGCTCCAATTTTTTTTGGCTCTGGCATCCTTTGAGCAAACAAGCTGGGGGGTTTCAAACAATTTTACACAAACAAGCAACTTTCACTGTTTATAATCAGTTTTAAAACTTGCTTGTTTTTAAACAAACCAGCTTATTATTTCTCAACTTGAACCCCCCTATTATTGAGTTTACACCAGTATGCTCATTCATCCAACACAACTTCTAGGATGGTCCAGAATAAAGCTCATTGATTTCCTTTCATGACTCAAATGTCAAACCTGGTGTACTAGAAACATAGTACATAAATAATTTTGATGAGTGAATGGGTATACAAATCAAGAACAATGTGTCACAGTTTACTTGAACAATACCATCAAGGTTTGACTAGACAAACATTATACCAATTGTTTGTAAGTGGCACCTTTTCCAAGCAGCACCATCATGAACAGGCAGCAATCACATGTGAACTTGTATGGATATAAATTCAAATACCATGAAGGAACCCTTAATGTAGTTTGATTAAAGGATGTCCTAATCTGTCCCATTTCTTGATGTGTGAAGTGGTACATTTGATCCGTGGCAAGCATGTCGGCATGTTCTCTAGTAAGCCATAAGTCCCTTTCTTGACTGCTTGCTTGTTCAAGGGGGGCTTAATTAAGTTAGTCTTTCCAAGTGGTGTGAGCCTTCCCTCACCCAACTGTATCTTAATCAAAATCAGGTGCATGCTCTGCTTGCTTCATTTCTGCTGGCATGAAACATCCCTTTCATAGCACTTGCTAACCAAATGCATCTTCATGTCAGAACAGATTTACTCTTTTCCTACTTGCAATGGTGTTGCAAATGCAATTGGCCATTGGAACAAGGTAGTATCTGAGCAAGCCTTGCTGCAGTGTCAGAATTGTTTGTCCC